AATATAAATGCAACACTTTTGTTTTTGCTCCCATTTTTAATGAGATGAACTCAAAGATCTAAAACTTTTTCTATATACACAAAATAACGGATTAGACAGCATGATTATTGCACAGGTGTGCCTTAGGCTGGCCACAATAAAAGGCCACTCTGAAACGTGCATTTTTGCTTTATTGGGGGGGTCTGGGGGGTCCGAAAACCAGTCAGTATCTGGTGTGACCACCATTTGCCTCACGCGGTGCAACACATCTCCTTCGCATAGAGTTGATCAGGTTGTTGATTGTGGCCTGTGGAATGTTGGTCCACTCCTCTTCAATGGCTGTGCCAAGTTGCTGGATATTGGCAGGAACTGGAACACGCTGTCGTATACGCCTACTATGTTCAATCTGAATTTACTTTAAAATAAAAACATCTATATTGATTCTGACTTTTCTACATCCAGCTCACAGGTTAATCATTGCTTTGAGAAAAAAGATTATTAATTTACCCCTTTTTTAGAATTATAGTTATAGTAATCTGTTCTGGGAATGTCATTTTGGAGCCTGAAACCTGAAAAACAGGCGTGGGATTTAACAGGTTAAGAGCATTAAGAAACATATTATAAAATGGCATTTAAAAACACTCATTTAAAAGCAAAGATAACAAAGGCACATGAATAAAAGTTATAGGGGCAAAGCAGCTTTTCTCTAGTCTCCAGTGTTTCCAACAAATTCAGTTTTGTTATTAGAAAATTACAATTGTTTTTTCTACGTCCAGCAGAGACATGCATGTTATCAGGATAACAAATAATTTATTTCTACGAGATGTGCTTCCACATCTACACAAAAAATGTATTGATGAACGTTCATTGAATGCCTACTTCTGTGTTAAAGTGGCAGTAATGACTCCCAAGGGGATTGAAATTACCAATTAATTATTGCTAACACTTGAAATTGTGAGAAATTAAAGGATACCAGTCGGTAGCCTATATGGCCGATTGCTTTGCCTCTGGTATTGCTGCATTCACTTTTTTTGATTTCGAGAACATCTAAAAACAGACATGCATACATAAAGACTTCATTCATTTTAGTAGGAAATCTGTTCACAATGAAGCGCAACCATCTCATTATAGTACATGCAGTCTAATAATTACAGGACTGAGACCATATTATTCACTGTGCTCTTCACTTTTCTATCCGTTTAACCAGATTTTTGCTTTGTGTTTTTTTTTAAGTGTGGCGCCGGTGTTTGGGCTGCACTTTGTAGAGGGACTTCCTGACAACGATGTCAGTATCTACACCTTCTCCTTCAAGGGGAAACGCTACTCCATCACCACCGTCATACAGTACAACCACCAACTGAAGCACTTTGTCACCTGGATTTGTGATTCTGACGGTAGGTTTCCATTATTTTTATAGTTGTATTGTTGAAATGTAAGTCGATAAAAATAATCCCTTGTGATTAAGGCGTCAATTAATACATCATTAGTTGTATTTTAGTACAATTTTAAGTTGTTAGATGCTGTTATCCTTTGCAATATTTTTACATTAACATGTATAGTGAATGAGAACTCTATTTATCTGTAATCTACTTTGTGCTTGTTTAAGTGTTGGTGGTAGATTGCCAACAGCACATTCTGCTGGACAATTCATGCAATGTTAACTGAGGAAGACTTGTTTCATTGCCATTTTATAGAGAAGTTATTCTGCGGCTTGAGAGATGACAATTCCACATTTTACCTATTCTATTATTAGTCTGTTATGTTTTTGATTTTTTAACATTCTTTTACATATGCTGCTGTCCTGGCTCCTCCATTATGAATATGTGAGGCACTTTTATGCCGTTTATAGTTCTAATTGTGCATTGTCTTACAGGATCCTGGTTAGAATATGACGACTTGAAACATCCCGATTGTAAGACTCACCAAAAGCTCCCGGTCCCGGCTCAGGAGATGCACGTCGTCTTCTGGGAGGCGGATAAAGAGTCTCGTGCCTGTTCTCCATCGAGCACATTTTCTGAATGTCCCCCATCTGAGAATGAGAAGAACCCCTGTCTAAGTGAAAATGGCTTTACAGCGGACAATGTGTTGAACTTCTCCACCGATCAGTCTCTTCTTATGTCTCACAACGACACTGACATAGTCTGTGCACTCTCAGCATCTGAGGACGGGAGCGACATCATTGACACGACGATCACGGCAGGAGGTGACACGTCTATCGGTTCCACAACGCTGCTGGGCGCCTTCGAGGGACTTTCCCATGATGACATCATTACCCTCACCCTGGTGGAATTAACCGATCATTCAGAAATGCCTCCTTTGAACGAGAACGAACAAACCGAGGATTCGAGCGCTCCCAGCAGGGATAAAACACTTGACTCTATACCCGATAGCTCTTCTGCTGTAATACAAAGTGAAGCGTCTCCCAGCCCTGATTTTGAGCTACCCTCCATTTCATCGGATTCTGCGGACGGCTCGTCGTGTGATCCTACATTTGTGCCTTGTGGAAAGAGAGGACGGGGCAGAGGCAGAGCAGCTGGCAGAGGCAGAAAGGTTGGCCGAAAAACAGTTACAAAGGTAGCGGAGCCGAAAGCAGCTCCGCAAACTTCACCAACTACATCCTCTGAGCCCTCAAAAGAAGTCATGAGCAAACCTGAGAGAGACGCTGCCTCTCAAAACACACCGCCTGTTGAAACTACTCAACGAGCAGCCCCCATGTCTGCAACTGATGCGCCACAGAAAAATCCCAATGCCATCAACCCTCACTGGTCCTACATGCTCAGCCAACACCCAGTCAACCAATTTCAAAAGTCAATTGCTAAAGTTACCCCCTCCAAAACACCCACCTCTGTCCCTCTAAGAAAGCTCACTCCTCCCATCCACTCAACACCCAACCCTGTGAGGAAACAGCAGCTTCCTGTAGTACCCTTCCCAAAACCTCAGCTCAGGACAGAGGACAGCGATGGTCTCCCGCTAAAAGCCGCAGAAATGTACGGTGGATTTGGTGCGAAGAGCTCCCCAAGTCCGCTCCCATCTTATGCGCTTCTCAAAGGAAAATCAAAGCTGAGTCCACCTGTTACACCCAGCAACCAGAAATCCCTATTGAACACGCCGCTGTGTATGCCTGGAGCAACTCGGCTACCGGAAATTTCCTCAAAGAAGTCCTCGAAGCTTCCTCCAGGCCTCAGCGAGACAGAAGCCCTCAGGTACAAGCTGATAAAGAAGCTAAATGCAAAGAAGAAGAAGCTCGCCAAGCTGAATGAGATGTTGGGGCATCAAGGCGGGGCCAGCCTCCGACCGGACAGCACCATCCTGGGCTCCCCAAACACCGTCACCTCCAGCACGTACGACAGCTCCATCTGCGACGACTTCCTCTCGGACCTGCTCTCGCCGGCAACGACCGCCAGCAACCTCTCCCCGGACAGCACGGGCTTCCTGGAGCTGCTCGCCAGTGGCCAGGAGGGGCAGGTGGAGCAGATACACTGTGGGGTCAACGCTGCTGGAGCGCTGCCTCAGATGAACAACACAGACAACTTCCTGGAGGAGTTTCTCTCGCAGGCCGTGACTCAATTGCCGAGTGAGATGGAGACGGACGCCCTCAGTGACCTGTTCATTTGACTTCTATGAAGTTTATATGCTTGTACATGTATATGTTGTACACCTTAAAATACTGTCTGCAAGTTTGGCACTTTGTAGTGTAAATATTGTATAGAAATGAGTTGTATGAAGTTGTTATGTTTACAGCAGAGCTTGTTTGAGTTTTCTGTTTTGTTAATTAGAAAATTACTTAAAGTCTCGTTATGATTTTTTTTTTTAAATGTCATTTAATAAATTCTTGAATGACTTTACTGTGTTGTACAAAATGTGTTGTGTGGTTTCAGCTTCCTCTTAGAATAAAAATATTTATAGTTTAGGTTTAAGTCAATGTAAACACTGACTTGCTAGTTAAATACTGACTTGCCTTTGACATGAGACTATAACTGAGGGCAAAACAGTTAGTTTATTGTAACTGAAAGATTAACAGTTCATTTACGAACACATATTTACAAAATAAAACCCTGTGCCTTCAGTCAGACATCAACATTGCTTTGATTATTAAGATTACAAATGGTTTACACCTCTGAAAGAAAACAAAACAAAATGTTGTGATAATGCAGCAAGGTAACACGACCGATTCATCTTTTTCATTGTTTGCAGGAAAATATGTCTGTAATTTACAGCACATCAATAACTATCTTTAGAAAATGGCAATGTTCAGTTGAATCTGTAAAGTTTAGGTGTAATTTTCAGCTGCTTGGTTTAACGTGATTCAATATGAACTTTAATTATATTATGTGCATTTAGTCCAAAGGGTTAGGGTTTGTCTTTCAACAAATAGGAACATAGTCACATACTGTATAACTACCAGGTAATATGAAACAATTGGAATACCTTTGTTAGCCCCACAGAGGGGAAATGTACGTTGTTACAGCATAAAACGAGCTAAAGACAGCTTAATGTTACGTAGAAGCATGCATGAAAAAAGTAATTGATTTGTTTTACCAAAGCAATGCTAAACAGTAATCTTCCCTCCTTCATATATCAATGAGTCACTTAGCAGACCTTGTGGAAAATTGCGAACGATAAAATATGTAAATCGTTATTACGATTTACATATTTAAGCAGTCTCTAGGTAGGATCATTAGTGTCTAGTCTGGATGGATTTCAACCTAGAACTCAAAAGAGTCGTTCCCATACCGGGAGTCGAACCCGGGCCGCCTGGGTGAAAACCAGGAATCCTAACCGCTAGACCATATGGGACTCACGTTAACCTTGACGACCGTTAGGCATTTTCAACACAGTCATAGACAACGCGTCGTGTATACGTATATAAATTATATAAACTGTAAAGGTACAAACTAGCAGACCATAACTTCAGCTGGTATAATTTCGACTATCTACTGTTTATAATTTAAATTAAATGCACTACCACGCTTAGCTAGTTTTTGTTTGATAGTAACTTCAACCTAAACAATGTAACAACACTGCTTGATTATATGTTTGAACTATCTTCACATTAGAAAATCTCTTCATTTGTATTTGTTGGGATGTTAAGAAACATAAGTTTATTCATTTAGTAGGTTCAAGTATGTATGCTGGTAATTAAGTACATATAGTAAGTTTGTATGTAAATAATAAATTAATTGAATTAAAGAGCTTTCATAAACGACTTCAACAAATATTGCATTTTGAACATGTTTCTGTTTTTAAATACAGTCACTAACCAAATGGGGGAAATGGCAGCTGCATTACCATTTTGATGCACTTGCAGGAGCTGTTTGTCTATTGGTAGGCCGGACATAGTATATACAGTGAGTCTATGATTTAGGCCCCGGCCCCTCGAGGACGCATACGGCAAAACGCATAGGATTAACGCAATCGCAATCGCAAAAAAGCTTCCGTCCACACGCAATATTCACCGGACAGACAGGTTGTAAATGGCTGTATTATTTTATTACACTTCTCTGCTTCTCGAGCATGTTCCAGGGGTGAACATTGCTCTCTTCCTCTTATCTTCATTTATTTGAATGAGATAAAAATTCAAGAACACAAATACAAAACATATGGTACATTTTTTAAATATGAGTTCTTTATACTAGAGGTTTTCAAAGCTGGAGGTAGGTTCAAATAACATAATTAGCACCTCACAGCCATCCAGGAAATAAGTTTAACCAAGCCAAGTTAACTGTAGGGATGAGGGGGCTCCTTTTTCGAAGCGTAGTCTGACAACAGCCCAATGAAAGAACAACCTTTACCTGTTATGTAATTTCTCTATATTGATGTATTTATCCTTTTAAAACGTATCAGTACTTCCTCTTCCAGTGCAGTGGATGTTTTGAATTCATAAAAGGAGAAGCGAAGGTGTAATTATTAACATGAATGAACATTTGAATAGGAACACCTGGAGTTTCTCTCACATAAGTCACCCTGTTGCTTTGAGAAAAAGGCTATCAACATTTGAACTTGTCTGGGGGACATATCCTTTCATAAAATATAATATTAAAGGATTCCCGTGTATTGGTCTTGCTCATTTGCCAGAAAGACTCCAAAAAGGCCCTCACAAAGAACATTTAATTACCCTAATGTAATGCAAATGTGTTCATGGCTGTGCAATCTCTGACACAAACACAGAGGAAGTAGCAGGCCTGTGTCCTCTGTATTAAGCCAGAACATAATTTGCATAAAGAGGAAACCACAAACGAGTTTTCTATGTAGGATTGAGGTGGGATGGTGCAGTAAGTCATAGAGATACAGATCAAGTTTACTTTCTTCAGGCTGACTGGTGAGACACACTTCTGGACGGGAAAAAGAAGCTCAGCATCTCCATTCATCTTCTCTTACAGCTCACACAATCATCATGTACAGCATCGTGGTGGAAAACATCTACATGCTGGTCATCGTCACCCTCATCAGCGTACTTCAGAATGGTGAGGAAAAGCAAGAAGCAACTCTAAATCAGTAGTTAAAGATGTGAGTAAGATGACCTTGTGTGATGACGTTAATGATCTTTGTGTTTTAGCATTCTTTGCTTTGAAGGTAGAGAAGGAGTGCAGGAGTGTAAATCCAAACGCAGCTGCTTTTGAACGAGTTTCTTGTGCCAAGTAAGTACAATTTTACACTCAGTTCCTCTGCTAATCTAATGAAACATATGATTTTTTGTTATTTTAGTTTCCTTCTAAAATAAAAATTCCATTTGGTTTTCCATTGACCTGTTTTGGAGAGGCAGTCTGCATTTGCCTGAACACTCCCAGATACTGGAAAAAAACTACAGAGCTCATTTGAATGCTTGCTGGGAAAGCAACAATAACCGTTAAGAAAACATTTAATTCCACAAGCCTCTCAGTGAGGTGACTCATCATCATCCTCATGTGTTTAAGTTGCGTTTAAAAATGATTTATAGCTTAGGTTGTTTTGCTTTGTTTAAAATTGCAATCCAGGTATGATCGTGCAATATAAAATCAAGCCTGTTTCTCAAAACTGTGACTTTCACTCTTCTTGCAAAACCACTTGGCACATCAACATTTGTCAATTCAAGAGTGTATCCACCCACCATCTTAGATACCTCACACACAAAACTACTCAAATATTTTACACTTTGACAACTATTATTTTAATGGCTTCATCAAAAATATCAGAATTTTCAATTGTTCTCTGTTTCCTATCATTGTCATTTGAACGTGATTGTGTTTTGGACTGTTGTTAAGAAAAGTGAAAAAACGTCACCCCAGGCTTCGGGAACTTGTAGTTATTGCACATTTGCTTCTGATTTTTTTATGGGCCACAATTAATTGGTTAAACAGAGACAAATATCAACAAATTCATAAATTGTGGCACTGAGGACAAAAATGCATTATGCTGCATTTAATCATTAAAAGTAGTTAGGCTATAGCTTGAAATTCAAATCTAATATAAGTGACACAACGTCTCAGTATTGGGAAGCTCCATGGGCTGCAATGCACTTCCTGTTTTTTTTTAAAGAAACATTTCAGCCACATCCTGACTTGGATTTCAAACGTTTGGGTGATGCAAACGTTTGCTGAAAGTTTCAAAATGACCCGTCTCTTATTAAAGGTTTTTCGAGGTAGGTGTAGAAATAAATCTGAGAAAATATATATAATTACCTTTCAGGAAACAAATCAGCCTGTGACCTCTCAGATTTATGTTGAGGCCTCTTGTGGGGTCCTGACCGAAAGGTAAACAAAAAACCCGTTTTGAGATAGGACATTTTTTGCCAGTTTAGTGGAGGAGAAATATATATTTCTTAAATAAAAGTAGAAACACTACAAAAATGTGTAAAAATACTTTCTTACAAGTAAAAGGTCAGCAATCATAATCTTACTTGAGTAAAAGTACATAAGTATTCACATCAAACTATACTTAAGTACCAAAAGGGATAGTAGGCTACTTATTGTGTATGTAATTCCAATTTCAGAATAACATATTCAATTACTGGATTATTCTTTTTTATTAAAAATAATGTGTTTATCACAGCTGGTAAAAGTGGAGCTACTCTTATACTTCTGCTGGATACTTTACTTATAACTATATAGCATAGTTTGTTTCTTATATTTTGTGTTTGCTAATAATCTGAATTTGTAAAGTAACAAGTATATATTTATGTAAAATTAATGTAGTGGATTAAGAGGAAAATGTTGACTTCCATATTGTAGTGGAGTAAAACCGTAGCATAAAATAAAAATACTCAAGAAAAATTACGCAAAATCGTAGTTAAGTACAAAACTTGAGTAATTGTAATTCAATACACTACACCACTGGCTAATTCTCCAGACATGCGTGAGATTGAAAAGGTTTGAGGGACATGGCTCTGTGAAACACACTGAACTGATTATTGCAGTGTATTGCAGCAGCCAGTACGTACTACCTCAGAGTGGACGACATTTTTCCATTTCAACTCTTCTCCTCCAACACTCAGACAGCCACATTGGTTTTCCATTGTTTTTTTTTACAGTCTTTTCTGCTCTACAGTTTAAAAACATTTTCTTAAATATCAAACGTTATCAGATTGCTCCATGAACGCTCTTTGCCGTTAACTTCCTTGATTGTACTAATTGCACCTCTTGCTTTCTCATCTCTCAGTCGTAACTGCATGGATTCTTACCCAACGTTCCTGGCAGTGATGTGGTGTGCCGGTCTGTGTCTCAGCCAAGGTAATCATTAATCAGTTACTGTAAAGCAATCATTAACCAGTTACTGTAACACTCCCACAGAGTCAGTTCAGCTGAGGGAAAACATTCAAGAAAGGATTTTGTTCTTTATAGATGACTCATTCATTTGAGGAGCACTTATAATATAATACCATTAACCCTATTTGTCCAAAATGTTGTGGACACTTGACCACACATACATTTAATTCAAAACTTACGCAGCAATGAAGTACAGCCCAATCAGGCTCAGCCAACACATGCAGAGGACAGGGTGCTTTGGCAAAATTAAATTACAATATAAATTCATATCAAACTTGCTGTATATTCGTCTGCAACTTTAAAATATTGAGACAACTTTTCTCAACCAACTACACAATTAACCCAGGATAGTCAGAACAGGCCGATACAACCGAGAAATATGAACTCATGTTGTTCCACCTAGGCTCTCATTTACAATAAAATGTAAATCAAAAGTATTCTAACCTTTTTTCTGGAATTCTTACCCACTGCCATTTATAAGAAGCCCTTTACACTTGAGTGACAACTACTTGTAAAGGAAAGCAACATTTCCTCAGCTTACTGTACCCATGTCTCAACCCATTACAATAGCTCATAAAACACCTTATAGAACAATAAACAGAGAGCCTCTTGAAGTTTCTAGACTGCCTGTGGGAATTTCTCACATAAATGCCAACAGTCAGTCCTCATATGCATTTTTTCTCCCTCTGCCCACACTACCTGGGCTTCACTTATTCAAGTAATACATAAACAAATGTATGAATACATTATTTTTGGTTCACACTGTTGAATCACGGTATTCTCTGAAGTATCATTACTGACTGTATCACTGAACCGGGAAAAAGAGCCACAGACCAAAACATGACACCCAAATGAAAGTGGCCAGGAGTTTCCATATACGTTCAATATTGTGAGTTATGAAAATGGGGATTGTAGTAATATACCAGGCTATTCAAAATTGCCGGTCATCATATAACGTTTACATGTAAAAAATATTTTCTGTTAAATGAACGGACAAAAGTGAGTGTGTGTGAGTTAGAAAGACACGAGCAGCACCAACAGTTTATGTTAATTGTTATAATAATAATAATAATAGTTAAAACTCAAATAAACTACTTAAAAGTATTTCTTAACATGCTATAGTGCTGCTAACATGTAAACTGCCATGTTTGTCTAATATAGCCTTATATAGTAATATGATATTGGTTTCCCAGTTAATAATTCTGTTTATTACAAGTACAACTATGTTCTCATTCTTTAGAGTTTCATTGTAACTAATAATGATAATTACAAAAATGTAATGCTGTGATATTTTCTGAGACCATACCATGATGATCTCAGTTTGTACAACCCAACCAGGAAGTAATATATATATTTCTTTTTCTGTCACATCTCTGAAGCTCCTGCTTCCTTTGCCGGGGTCATCTATCTTGTAGTCAGGCAGAAGTACTTTGTCGGATACATGGGACAAACCAGTCAAAGGTAAATTATAATGAGCGATCTGTGTTTTGTTTGTTAAGAGGCATAGTCTAACATATATTTAAACATTATTCGTAGCACCCCAGGCTACCTGTTTGGAAAACGCGTCCTGTTCTTCCTGTTCCTGATGTGCATTGTGGGAATCTTCAACTACCTGCTGGTGCGCTTCTGCAGCAGCGACTATAAGGAATACGTGGAAACCATCACCAGCGCTGCGTCTGCTCTTCTCCTACTCCCTTAGGGCAAGGTGTGTCACATAATGGCACAAACAACTTATATGTCTTTTAATTGAACAAAAACAAAAGTCTGATTTAATTTCTGTTTTTATAAAAAGAGCATTTATTGTGTGTCAGTTTGGTAAATAAATAAAATGTCATTAACAAAGTATGATTCTTCTGTACAAAAGTCTTAAACAATTCATTCTGCAATATAGATTTGACCCCTTCAACTCTAATCAAGTGAGGTAAACACCTGGTTACTATCGAAAAACACTGGAAAAAAATACAGAATTAATTCCTTGATAATCTTCATGGCATTCAGTAATTCTTTGCCATCCCTTGTTAGTGGTTTCCACCAATTTAACAGAAGAAATACCCAACAGCCATTATAGTGCAGTTCTGTTTGAAGAGGTAGGCCGCTCCTTTACCTGGCAGGTTACATTCTTCTGCTGATCAGTAAACTTCCTTAAGGAAGCAGACCCAGACGCCATTAAAACTGAGTGCAAAAACTAAATTGATTTCTCTTTCTCTCCATCCACTGCTTGCTCATGTCAATCTCAACTGTAATGGTAAAAGATGTGAGCAGAGAACACAAATTAGACAAGTGCAATCGGACAAATCCAGCAAAGTAACTATCTATATTATACTATCACTACTATATTGCTAAGAAGAATAAGACATACTTACACAAAATGTCCTTTTGCTGAACCCAAACCAGTGTGCAAAGTCAAAGAGGGCATCAGAGTAGTATTTGAGGGTGAAGGAGGCGTCTCTCCACACAGGTTGGACTTTTGTTAATTTGTCGGTTATAACGCTGCTGTTTTTTACTGCCCAGTTCTCCATTATTTCAGTCAAGTCAATCTGATATAAACAAAAGACATATTTAAAAACCACAAAGGTGTGAACTACATTAAAAGTGACACAAAGTCCTGCTTACATCCACCCTGTAGCTTTCTCCTGCGACAGAGGAGATGCTCCAGTCCAGGCCTTTCTCCATCTGCCACTTGATGAAAGGATCGTTTCCATCGATGGACACCACAAACTGCTTGAGCACTGCCACCGATACAAGGTGTAGGATAATTTATGGGGAAAACAGAGGGAAACCAGTGAGAAGAGAGCTCAGAAATACATGTTGTCATTGTGCAGAAGCACTGTACAGCCATTGTCATTACTCTACTCCGTCTCCACCCATTGCAAACATCCAAAGTTGGATTTCAGCCAACATGCCATGTCACATATAGGCAGCATGACACATATAGGCAGCATGACACATATAGACAGCATGACACACTTAGCTGTAAAGTACACACTGTGCTCAAAAGTATAATGTTGTGCGAATAAAAAAATGCCAGTGGTGGCTTTAAGTACCATTTATCTTTTTTAGTTATTTCAGTGTAATTACACAAAAACGTATGTCCTCGTCATGATGGGGTCATTTTGTATAATGGTAGTAAGTAGCCTTGTGTACAGTTAAAGTTACCTCTTTCTTCATTGGCTGCCTTTTTGTCGTTCACTGAAAAGTTTTCTTCGCATGCAGACATCATCAGATAAATCCTCTTGGACAGCAGACTCTTCCTCATGCTGGTGTACTCCCATAGGTTTTGCATTTTAACCTTCCTGTTTTGAAACAATTCAATTATGTTTTTGTGTATAATAATGTGTATTTTTATTTTTATTTTTTTATTTTTTTTTATTTATTTGGGGTCACATTATAGTACAAGTACAGTTTTTCAAATCATATATTTTTAGAGACCCGAAAGTGACAAATGAAATAGCAAACAAAATTAATCAAAGTAAAATAAAAATGAAAAAGTACACAGGGGTTGTTTGAGATAGCAAATGTCTACACATGTACATATGCATACATATCAACATACATATATACATTCAATACACATACATGTGACCTTACATACATACACACATACATATCTATACATACACATTCAATCGGTGTATAGAAACAGTCAAAATATGCAATATGTGTATTTTTAAAGCATCCCATGAAGCGTTTCCCTCACCTTCCCACCGAGTTCAGGAAAACTATTTCCCGTCTGCAGGAGTTGAAGTCGTCGATGAGCACCAGGCTCTTCTCCGGGTCGCTGTGGACTCGGGGACCGGAGGGGAGCTCCTCCACGGAGAAACCGTCCGGAGGATTTTTCAGAAACTCTTCCACTTCTGTCACTCTCATCCTGCTGTGGGACGTCTTGCTCGCATTCATGGTGTCACGCTTTTCTCTGGTACGTCTTCCTGTGGCTGCGGCTGTTTCAAATGCCTGCCTGAAGTCTGTAGCTAGCTTATAAACGCTGTGAAGTTAGACATGATGGTGAGACGACCAGACTTCCGGTCCCAAATTAAATCGGCTCAGGTTGAACGCCAATAAGCGAAAACACACGCCTTTAAGATGATTGACAGAAATGGTTTAATGCAGACTGAGAAGTGGTTAAGTAAAAACAGGTTCTACAGATTCAATATTATCCGGATGGTTTTTTTTTTTATTAGACATTGTCTAATGTCTGAATAGCACTATTGACATATGGGTAATGTCCAATAAGTACTATTTGATGATTTAATATTGTTCTTCCCTTAACACGTTATTTTGAAGGAGCATAGTTCTGAAAAGATTAACAGACCACTCCAATTTTTTCTTAAATCTCTACATGTATGGCAGCCAATCGATTCCAGTTTCTGTTGAATTCAAACACAGACATTTTTTGTCAGTAGTTTATAGAATACAAATACATTTGTTTTCATTTTACTCAAACACAAGTAAAATAAATAGTAAAACCAGAGAAACTGATAATCGTGCAGTGGTCTCTTAATTTGTTTCCAGAGCTCTATTTACTTTCATAAAACTGTTTGGCCATTTCCTACATAGCTTACATTATAAACCTACAATATAGGCCCTAATTAAGAGAGAAAATAAAGTGAATTACGAATTATGAATTAACAATTAAGAGATAAATGAATAAATAACTAAATCAAACCATTTTTATTTTTTTAAATAACACTATTGTTCAATTATATCCACAATAATGAAGATGGATTTCCGAGCTTTACGAGAAGCCACTTGAGGTGAGCAATTGGCATTCCTGTCGAGAACAAAGCGAGATTTTGAACAGAAAAGGAAAAGTACAGTAATGAAAAACATATTGAGTGACCTGCCAGCCTTTGTGGTACGATGACATTAATATTCTGCATGTGTGTATGTGTGTGTCTTTGTGTGTGGGTATTTGTGTCGTATCAGACTCTCTTCTTGTTGCCGTTTTTATTCATAAGCAATGTTTGGTCAGTGCTCATGAGTAAGTCTTCGAGTATTTACTTTAGCTGTCTCCCGTAAACACTCACCCGATAAGAGTCCAAAACAGATCCATAAAGCCAGTAAAGCTCTGACCTTATTTCCTCATTCTTCAAGTTTGTAGGAAACATAAATCCCATTTGGATTTCTTTCCGTAGAGTTCGCTTTATTCACACAAAGATGTGAACACCCACAGCTTTGGTTTCACGGAGACAGACTATTTAATTTGTGTGGGCAAGAAGTCCATGTTTAGACTCAGTGGTCGGGATATTGTTGACTCATTTGTTCTGTATGTCTCTAACAGTCTGCATGGACAACAACAGAAATCCTGCTTTCAGCCTTCTTTCTGGACATCTATTTATAATATAAATTACAATGCTTGCTATACTGGGAACAAGGCTTCAAAATCCTTTCTCACAATCAGCTTGTGTAAAAACTCATGCATTCTAGTTTATCTCTAGTTGTTTATTGTCTGTTGATTGTGTAGCTAACCTCTGACCTCCCTGTGGAGGGCATACTGAGTCCAAAAGTGAAAAAGCTGCTCTCAGATTTAAGAGTCAGTGGCTGATCTGCAGCATTGAGGAGGAATATATACTGTTTGGTTAGTATATCTTTTTCAGCCATCATATTTTGTTAGTAAATTAAATCAGTCTAGCTTTTGAAAATCTCTAGTGTAGAAAATAAGTCTGTTAGCAAAACTATTTTTATATCAGTATTACCTGAAGTTGAACATAAATAAGTGGACTACATTCTCTCAAGCACTGTTGGAAAAATGTAAGACTTGGAATTTCTTTGGTATTACAATGACTCAATCACATTCTATTTATATAGCCCACTATCACAAATTACACATTTGATTCAGGGGGCTTTACAGTGTGTAAAGCATACAATACCCCCTGTCCTTAGAGTTGCAGCGCTAAAAGAAAAACTACCAAAGAAACCCCAGAATGAATCTGTACAAATGTAATAAAACCCATGGAAGAGCAACAGAGGAGGGATCCGTCTCCCAGGAGTATAGTTTTTTTTTTTAAATGAAGAAATTACAACAGAGAATCCAAAAAGCAACGTGATATTGATGCTTCTTTTACTTTAGTTAAATGTCGGAGTACTTTTGGTACTATACATATATTATGATGCTTAAACTTTTGTACTTTTACTTAAGTAACATTTTGAATGCAGGACTTTTATTTCTAACTGAATATTCCTACACTCTGGTAGTTCTCATTTGTTGTACTTAAGTACAAGACCTGAGTACTTCTCCCACCTCTGACTTTGACCACCACCACTGAAAGTGAGAAGGAAGCAGCATTGTGGTTTACTACTATGCCAATGTGTCATAACATAACATACCAGTGAACACTAGAGGTCGCTGCAGCTCTGCTCCAACAGTCACTGCAGCCCAGCTCTGCCAGTACAGGAATGTAGCTAACCAGTGTTTCCAGTTCGCCTAGAAAACACGGTGATATAAAACAAAGAACAGCAACCACAGAAGCCATGTCTCATCGTTATGTGGTGGTCGGATGCAAACTGGTCGCGGTGCTTCTTCTTTGGCTTGGTAAGTGGGGTCAATGCCCTGTGGAGATAGCTATGGTGTAAGCTAAACTGCTAGCACTATGCATGATAAAAATACCGGAAGTTACTTCGATGTGAACTTCAAAGTAAAACTATATGTAATTTAACAGGGCGAAACGTGCATTGTTGTTTAAATGTTTTAAACTGGATGTATTTCATGTTTAATTACAGACTTAAGTTATTCTCCAGTGAGACCCTGGCATCTATTTTGCTACAAAATATTGTCTATTTTCTTTTAATTTGAAATTGAAAAGAGTCCCCGGGGAGGTTATAGTGGACAGCTTGACGCACCACTCAATTAAATGCAGGTGCTCCCATGGGGTTTGTAAACAAGACGATTGAACAGTTGTTCATGTCAAGGTAATCAAATATATGATACATATGTCTCTAGGAAGAGTGTGCACTGATAGAATCACACAGAAGCTTGCATGGGAAGAATACAGATGATTGTTTAATGAAGTTACAAACCATGCTGATTTAGTTTGTTGTGAAATTGACATTGTTTATAACCCCGTGGTCCAATTGCCATATTTTCTTATTAGTAAATAATGAACAGCACATGCAGGTTATTTGCAGCCAGATATTTGTCTACGACTGAAATAGTAAGCTAAAAAGTGAGAAGACCTGCACACCCAGTGACTCCTCTGGCCAGTGAGGCCTCTGCTCAGGTAAAAGAGGTTAAAATGATCAATTCCACCTGGGCTTTTCCTTATAGGTCCATTTAAAATGTCTCCCGTGAAAAGGGTCCATTAAGTTGTTGGCTGTGTCCTAAACTAACAGGATTAACAAATCCAAAAGAAGGGTGATGGAAATGTTGGTTAAATACAGTTTAATACAGGCCAAAAGAGACAGGTAAATTGAGTGAAAACTTCTGTGACATGCCATGAGTGTGCATTACCTTCAAAAGACAACTGGAAAAGCCAAACGTGTTTAAGACCTGTAATTTAAGAATTTTCCAGAAATGCACAAGATATTATAAAAATGTTTTCATGGTCTTTCATTTGATTGCTATTGACACTTTTCCCTTTATTAATGATAGCAGGAATAGTGCAGGTGTAATATAGTACCTCAATGATGATACATTCTTACTTAATTTCCTTAACACCGTATCATTCATGTTATTAAAGAGAGCTTTTCCCATACCAGACCATCCTTTACCATAACACGCCAACATGTCTGCAGTGAAAGGGAGCCTTCAGGTTGATTATGGGTGGTAATGTATTTAATATGTATTTACCATAATAGCAACAGTGATTGTCATAATGAAGTTTACCTCTGCAATATACTTATTTGTGTTCTTCCTTTATGCATTCACAGCAAGCACCTGCTGGTTTTTTTTGCCCCAGGTGGTACACATATAGATTCATGTTTAATGAAAATGCATTAGATCAGACAGTCCCATAGAGACCTGCACCTGCATGAGTTACCTCATAGCTCACATCTTAGTTCATCATGACCTATTTCTCAGCTCAATGTTACAGCACTCAGAAGCATTTTGTGGTTAGATCTGGAGAAATGTTATGTTTTTCTTTTTTTAGGGTTAGGGTTACCATGTATGAAAAGTATTTTTTGTAATGTCTGAGTCAGGAAAATAACTAAATGGGCTTTGCACACCACTAATAATAGCACAAATGCACATTGACATCCCATCATATCTCTGCCTCTAGCCTAGATTGACATGATTATTCACTAGTATACCGGTGACTCTCAAGTCAAGTATGACACACCCACAAAGCCTACAGTACTGAGCTCTGCAACTATCTGTCCTGGCTTCAAAGTTTGTTTTGAGTCATGGACACAAAGTCTAATTTGTTATCTTGTTAATATAGCGAAGAGGTGTTGGTGCAGTAATAACTATTACTACTGCTGCTGCTGCTGGGGCTGTCGCGCTGTTACAGATGTGTCAAGACTTTAAAGTGTTGTGAAAGTGGTTCCTGTCTTCATTTATAAAGACCAAGAGATAGAACTATATTGACATAACATGTGCTTAATATTTAGCAACAACTAACAATTATTTACATTATTGGTTAAAGTGTTTACTAGACTATAGTTTTTAGACTCAGTGCCAAGATCTCAGAGCTCAATATCACATATTCAGTCCAAAACCCAAAGATATTTTCCAAAAATTTAAAAATGTATAAACAGGCAAACATTTCTGAATGCAATATGACATCTGCTGTAAATGTATTTTCCGATATCCCCTGCAAATCAATTTAAAGAATAACTGGCTGCTCATGTCATTAAATATAATGAATGCATTTTGATAACTAAATGTTGCCTCTTCTTTCACGCCCTAAAGGTTCCTCTGCTGGGGACAAACACGCAGGTCGTGCTCATGTAAGTGTTGCCCAGATTCTGGCTGTGATAAAGCTTCATCATGTGGCTCAGCAGTGTGTGTCAGACTAAACCAGATCCCTCTGATCCCCGCAGGCAGCAGAGCATCAGGAGCACACTGCACACGGCCCTGCTGGTGAGTGAGGGATTTCACCACAGATGGTCTGATGTTTTGTTCATAGATGTCAAAGTTTAGGAAAGCAAATCCATTATTCGATGCATGATAATGATTTCATCGAGAGCATGGGAATGAAAAGCTCAACCCAGACACCAACATCTTTGAGGTTGTGGATTGAATTAAAGGAAGGACTAGTTAAATACACTTATTTGCTTTCTTGCTTATAGTTCTATGAAAAGTTTGATTGGACTCATGTTTTTACCCTAAATATAAAGCTATGGCCAACTGGCTTCATTTAGTATATATACTGAAAAAAGAGGCTTACTTGGAACCGTCCAATGTCAACACAAACCACCTGTTAGCACCTCCAAAGGTATTTAGCTAACTATTGTTGTATTCTGTTTGTCCAATGCATACCAAAACTGATATGTAGAAATAACGAGTCGTTGTTTCGAGAGTGGTTATCTTTGCCGGAAACAGTGACTTTGTGAATTTATGTCATCACTTTGAGGTTTTCCTGTCAAGAAGAACACACACTTTCGAAGTGTATGTCACACATTTTCTTTTGTCTCTTTGCCTTTCCTTTTTTGTCACCCCTCTTAACTTGTGTGTCCATGTTCTCTCAGGTTTGGAGGAGGTGGTGCTACTGATCCAGAGTCAGAGGAACACCTTCCACGCCCGTCACGCTGCTCAGAGGAAGGTGGAGCTTCTGCAGCAGGCCACTGAGCTGGGACAGGTAACATCTGGCAGGCAGTCGGTTAACACCTTTTGCTGGGTTTAGATCAGGGGTATCCAAACTTTTTTCTCCGAGGGCTACATATAGAAAAACATACGAAGGGCTGGGCCACTCACTAGAGGTGTATTGCCTCAGAAGTTGAGTTATAAGTTAGCAAAATAAATCAAGGTAGGTAAATTATGCTTTATACTTGAATATGCTTTAAGAAAAAACAGCCAACGTCACAGCTCTCCCGAGGGTTTAATTGATTGTTTTTGCAGCTAATTCCTTAAAATAGAAGCCTCAGACTGCTCATAAGAGGAAATATGAAGGGTATATTTTGAGCTGGTTATGGAAATAAGTTATTAGACTTAGATTTGTTAGAAAATGTTTTCAACTTTGATGGAATTCATTTGAAAGTGGGTTTATTAACACATGAATGATGTGTAATATATGTTTACATATATATTTAAGAAGTACAATACAAGACAAGCAAAAGTTTAATTTGTGGGCCATATATCATTATACTTTTTGAATTAACTGAGGGCCAATTCAAAATGGCCTGCGGGCCGCATTTGTCCCCCGGGCCGTAGTTTGGACACCCCTGGTTTAGATCTTAGATCTGGTCTTATGTGTCCTCATGTGTGACACATCTGTCATCATGATAGAACTCAAGATACTATGATAATAAAAGGGGTACTGTAACCTTTAAAATAGAGTTATGTTTTTAATAATCTAATACATTTTTCACAATGCAGAGGTTAGTTTATGTAATAATGCCGACTAACTGGCCAAATGTTTTCAGGTTATTCATCTTTCCCATTCTAATAAACATGATATTTAAAGAGAGCCTGGAAGAAAACTGCTTTAATCTTATTGGACTCAAGGATGACCTCATTAGAATTACTATGAACTCACACAATACAATGTTGGTCATAACTCTTGAATACATATGCTAATTCTGAACATTTTACATCATATATTTTATTATACAAAATTAGAAAGAGATAATATTTAGTGTAAGACTTTCTTAAGAAATGTTTGGATATACCACCAGGACATTGTGTGCAGACAGTCCCAGAGGGTAAAACCTAGTAATGATGGTGACTTTTCAACTCGAGCCACCATGAAGTTGACATTTTAAATATGTAATTTAGGTATTGGATGGATTCTCTGGATTTTCCATCCAACCATTCATGAAGGTGAATTTTCCCTTTTTAAATTATAACTTCATGAATGATTATCATTATAAAAGTATTTATTTATTCAGTCAAGGCAACTGTACAGTCTCATATGAAACATGGTTAGCAGCAGATATGTAAAGTAAACATTATTAGTAGTAAATGGGCTACAACATAAAAAATGTTATTTGCTTTAATGGGGATTTTTAATATAAAGTACATTAATTAGTTATCCTATCGCTTGAGTCACATTTATTACCAGCAGTAAAGGTTAAGAACAATAAATATTGTTATTGCTGTTAAGGACTCAAGAAGGTTCAGTTTATTCTTAACAGCAGACAGGATAACAATGCTTTTACTGTGTGTCACTGATTTTTGGAGTGGGAGTTTGCATAGCTGTCTTATTACACGGCTACCGATAGGTGTCCTCCTTGCTGTAGTGTTCCCCTCCCTGAGCTCAGAGGAGAATGGAGAGATGAGACGACATAAATATGGACATGGGAGCCTGCAGTGAGAAGCTGTTGATTTTCCTTTGAAGCAAAAATACATTGATACTTTTTTTTGTATTGTTCCTCCAAACTCTTTTTCAATCCAGAAAATCATAGTAATAATGGCAGAAGGTAGTCAGCAGGGGCTCTGTTGAAAGATTCTTACATAGAAAGAAACAAAAATGTCCCAGGGTTGAGACATCTAATAATGATTTTAACCATCTCACATGTTGTTTTCTCTGAGTCCCTCTCCTGTGTTAAGTGGGGAGACCTGATGCGTCTGCAATCACACGGCAGTCTGTCAACAAAAAATGTGGTGCGGCAGCTGGAGACATTTTTAAATCACATATGCATCAGTGAGTGATTCAGCAGCGACAGAGTGGGAGCACTGAATACATTTGAAATCTCTGTTTCTTTTGTTTTGAAGCTGCATTCTGGTTTTGGTTATGGTTTGAGGGGTGACCGCACCAATTTCTATCTGAGACAGAAAGATAATGCAGTTAATGAGAATGTCGACAAACATCAGTGTGGCTCTATGGTTATAAAATGAGTGAGCTGCCTGGCAATTAATTCCAATTTATCATGAATGGCTTGTTACATTATTGTTAAGGGCATGAGAGCTGTGAAGAGCAATTCATCAGTATACTTAATGTACAGAAAATGGCTCAAGAAATCTGAAAGGGAGTCTACAGACACTCAGAAAAAGTAAAAAACATGCACCACCTCCGCAGTCTTGAGGTAATTGCGATATGATCATTAATTTAGTTCAATCAAAAATAAATTAGATTTTAAGTATCTTTAGAGCATCAATCAAATTTTAGGGGTTACATCTCGATGAATTTTCTCAGATCATTATTACTTCTGTAAACATGAACTTATTTTATCAAAATGTATTTTAGCTAATTAAATATTAATCTTTCTAATACAAAGGTTATTTTTGGATTAGGAAAGTCTTGACTTCAATGTCTCTTAAACATAACTTTGGAAAAGAATAACAGGTATGAAAAGGGAAGTTTTATGTATGAATTAAAAAGAGATTTCCACAAATCCAAGAGAAACCATTAATGTAACTAGTGGCTTGTATATTTAAATGTAAACAAAATGGTGTTATATATGTATAATATTTGTGGTCTGCATCTTGAACTGTTGTGACCATATACCATTAGTAAATGTCTCAAGGACCCCATTTTGTCATAATGATAAAAAAAACTTTAAACCACAGCCAGGTCTCATAATTTGACTGCAACCAGTTCTTTCTCTTTAAACGACCAATGCACGATTTGCAATGACATCTCAGAAGGAAACCCCCCTAAAGGGGCCCCAGGTCGTTCCTGGTGAACTTGCATGATTCTCGTAACTTTGTTTGAATTAAAAGTCAATGAAGCGGCTGAAGCCTGAAAATGAAAAAAGAAAGAGGAAAAAAGAGAATTATGGATAAAGACTGTGAAAAATAATACACAAATGAAATGGCCCAGTGATTACAAACAAATAATATAAAGTTGGATCATTAAGATAAGGATTACACAATACGCAGTTAATAAATAAACAGCCATTCTAAAGAAAACGTCAGAAGCAATAACATAAAATAAGACAATAAAAAAACAAATAATAATATGATTGAAACATATTTTAAGTGCTAAAGTAGTTACCTTACTAAAACCCTAACATGTGTAGCAATGTAGATATTAACGTCACATTTACCGGTACATGCATATTAAGAGTAAAACAGACTTGAAACTTAAAAACAAAATAAGCAATAGGTCCACCCTGGGAATTATAGCCTGAGACCCCGACAGACCACCGCTGACTGCAGGTCCTGAAAGTGCTGGACAGCATATTGATAAGTGTTCAATCATCTCAGCATGTGTGCTTCAGAGGACGTGGCGATTTGTCAAAGTGAGGAAAATGACTGAGAGCTTTATCTAGATTTGATGTTGATCACAGATCTTGATTGTAGCAAAATGTTTCTCAAGAAGCTAGGTTTTGCGTCACGTTTTTTTTTTTACTAATGTGCGTCACGGTTTCAATGTATAACCAGGTGATTAAAGGCGGCAAACACACATTAACTCAGCTTCCTGTCTGACTTGCATACAGACAGCTTATCGGCTGTGGGGCATATGGCTGTTTTATTGTTTATTTCACAAAACATCAATTGTTTCGCGATAGAGTAATCTATATTTGCAAAGCTGTGGTCATGATTTCGCCAATATTTTAACAGCTACATCTCAATTGTAATGTTAGTGTAATTTATAACACCTATTTATATTCACATCTTTCCTGGCTTATCATTCAAAGGAAGAGACAGACACTTATAAACGTCTCACATTTGGCTCTTTATTTGTTGGCTGTAACTGCAGGCTTTTAAATCAGCCTTTTCAGCCTCATCATCCAGCTTCATTACAGAGTCCCGTCATTTGGCAGCTGCTCTCTCAGCTCTCTTCGCTCACATCTCACCACACTTACAGCAGATGTTAATAACCATATTTGACACTCTCAGCATCTGAAGTGGTGTGGTTGCATGAAAACGCTCAATGTGAGTATCTGTGGGAACTGGAAGCCCTAAAGCCACTTTACTTTTTCAGTGAATATTATCTGTCCTTTGTGGGAAATTGTGCAATTAACTGTGGAAATAAAATTACCAAAACGTTCTGTCACGCCAGAAACTAAAAATAATATCAGTTATTTGATCAGACTCATGATGTTATCAAGTATGTTCTGGTATTTCATCTTAGCCTTAGCTTTACATAGACATACGAGTCCTCCAAAAATGTATATAATAAATAGTTTTTATTCCTAATATGGCTTTAAGAATTGAAACATGTATTATTTTTTCCATAGTGTCACTAATTTCACGATTATTTATTCATTTCTCCTAGCTTAGGCTACTGAAGTCTAATTCAAAAGGCAAAGAAATCCTTCCCTAATGAAGATTAATGATATGCACTTTTGCTGAAAATGTTTGTGAATTGTTGATATAATAATACAATTCATCAGATCATAATCATCTTAAAGTCTGAGGTGTTTCAGTGCTGTGGAATTATATTTCCCTATACCGACAGAGTTTTTATAACTTTTTCCAGAAGGAACAAAAACACCTCTCTGAATAATTCAATGCGTTGCAGGGAGACAGTGAGAGTGACGCTGAGTTCTGCATTACATGTTTTATTTACATAACATTATATAAAACACATTGACAAACACTCTTTGGCTCTTTGAAATAGACATGGATGTGACCAAATTAGGGGCTTGACCTCTGCGGAGATAAGTAAGGGTCATACGCTAACCTTCATTTCCAACCTATATTTATCTGTACTTACATTCATCGTCATAGTCCTATGAGTAACGCGTGAAAGAGAGAGTGAGATGTGTGCGTTCTTCTGAACTTAGAGAGGAGGAAGTTGTAAGAAACAGCGTCTGAATCAACTGCCCTGCCCTCATTCATTTAGCGTTATTTTTTCAGGAAATGATCGTATAGAGGCAATTACACAGAGCCGTTGGACCCCCCCAGAGCCTTTCGTTTGCAAATCTATCCACCTTGGGACCCGTTATCGTTTGTGGGGTCCGTTTCTATCGTTTTGTTACGGCCTCGTGTAAATGAGGCTATATACGCAAGAGAAACTATGCGGATCCAACCCGTTTTGTTCTCGTGTAAACGGGGTCTCAAATTGATGTTTTCAGTAGGATGTAACACCTTCATTTAATCAAGCTCATGCAATGTCTTTTTGTATTTATTTTTAGATAAGTGTTGGCAGTGATCATCAGGATTTGGCTTCATTTATTTACCCAACATTTACTTAATATCTGCGTATCCCACAAAAACCTTGGTTGATCCTTTGATACAACCTTATAAATATTGTACTCATTTTGTGTGTACAGGAATTAAGGGAATAGCATAGCCTGTGACCTAAGATTGTCATAACTTGTTACGACTGAATAAACGGGTTTGAACTCAAATGCACGACTCACACAGGTTAACAAAAAAAGTTTTTATTCAAACCAAAGCTCAACGACAGTGGTAAACAAAAACTAAGTCACTCTTAATGAGGAAAAAACACTAACAAAACAAAATCACTTCAATGAGGAAAAACACTAGGAGCATGAATATATTAATAATTAGACAAGACATGGCTCAAAGCTCTGCTTGGGATTCTTTCTGGCATGATACGCTGGTAGACTGTCACAAGAAACGAACTGGCACAGGACAGAGGGAGACGAAGACAATAAATACACCAGGTCATGGGGAACAGGTGGAAACAATCAGGGGCGTGGTCGACAATCACAGGAGTGGGAGACACACAAGGAAGGGAGGTCAGAGTATCTGAAACGAGAGGAAAGATTACTATTCATAATTAAAGGGGAAAATCACTAGACAAAAACACTTAACTAAACTAACATCATTTGCGAGAGATGACATAACTACACTGTAGCTGTGTACAAATGATAATAACAGCCTTGAACCCTTGAAAACATTTCGGTAAATGACACGGATAAAATGCAGTATTAAAATTCAATATGTTAAATAAATAGCCATTTGATTGTTAATAATATTTAAAGAGACAAAAACTTTATTTTGATCTTATGTGCTCAACAAACAGTAACGGTTTACCCTCATGGCTCGGCTGCATACAGAGATGAAGATGTAGTAGAGTTTTTGTGCTCTAAGTGACAGGTTCACCTTGACGATGTTAACTCTGTTTTCCAGCCCTTTGAGATTATGAAAATATTAAACAATGAAAAATAATTTTGTATTCCATGCAGGGAGTTCCAGTCGTTCTTCTTCTCCATGAGTTATCAGACTATGAAGGGGATTGGAGTATCCTCCCTGCGCTTCCTCAGTGAGTGTTAAACACACACATGGGGATGATAAACAAATTCATCAAATCAGATTCAATAAGCGTTCATTGAGCGTTTGGCTTTAATGATTCCTGGATTATAAAATAAATGCATGAAGTTTATGGCTCTGTGTGGATGTTTCCAGTCTCTCTGCCTTTTATGGCCAATCAGCATCCTGGTTTTTCTTCATTGAGGAAGGAACCAGAGTCACACTGTCTGCTCTGCTGCAGGTCCTCCACAGATACCAAGTCCAGGAGGTGAGATGCACTCTGACATGCACACCATTTTGAACAATACTTACTGGGTGTACTAAACAGCCCTTTCAGCTACATGAATGAACATATGGTGATGTCGTTTCCTGCACTGATGCACAAGCACTGATGAGAAAAGAACTGAGCAACTTTTCTTTTCATATCCCTCTTTTCCCGTGCACCTCTTTGTAACTCAGGAGTGGTTCTTGGGTAAGCCTCTCTATGACGACGAAGCCTCCATTATCCACCACTATGCGTTCTCTGAAGACCTCGGTTCCTTCAGCTATCCGGACCCCGCCGCAGGCTGGGCTCTCAGCACGCCGCTGCTCCAGAGGTGTGTGTGCGCATGAATGTGTTGCTGATATGTTTGTCTCCTTTTCTTCATTATTTCCTTTTTTGAAAGGGTTGAAATCTCAAGGTTGTTTAAATAACACACTCTCACAAGAGACTAGGAAATAAACACAAATGGAATACGTTTGAATATATTCGTAATACACATGATGGTGTGTGTCTTACATCAGACTTTTGTATTTTCTTCTTTCTTTTTTTTGGTTATCCAAACCTTTTAGGCTCTTAAACTTTTTCTACATTACCATATTTTACTCAATATGCTCCTTAGATAACTTTGTATTTTATTTCTTTTACTATTTTCTCCTTATAGCATTGTGAAGCACCTTGAGATGACGTTGTTTTTAAAGTCTGCTATATAAATGAAATGTATTATTATTTTCACTTCATTATTTTTGGCTTAAAAGAGACAAATGCAAACTTGACAAAGATGACTTTGACTGATAGCATTACCATTCATGTTTTTTCTTCCTTAAACTTTCAATGATGACAATAATGCTTCTTTATTGAATTCTGGCAAAAATAATGGTGCTGTATAAATCTGGTATTGTGACAGGCCTGGGAAAAGTTCCCACTTGTATTCCGCTGTTTCTCTTCTCTCAGTATCTTTCTATCTAACGTGTTTCAGACTCGCTGAGCGGATACAATACAAGAGTCTGAAGTCAGATTTCACCATCGACTTGAAACACGAGGTACCTTGAATCATCTTCCAATTTCTGAATATGCGTGCCTTCTGCTGCTTATCACTATGCTAGGATAACTATTGGACCACTGTTTTTATTTAAAATTCTACTTTCCGCTTCTAGAGCTGCTGTGAAAAGTGACTCCAGTGTTGCCTTCCTGGCTGCCTGCTGAGATGAAACGCTTAGACGTGTATAAATCATAGAAAATATTCTCCCAGAAAGTAGATTTTTGTTGAAAAGGCTCCTGCAGCTTTCTATGCCTGAAGCTTCTGCTATATTTATTATTATATTATTGATGCAAAATGACTAGTTCTGAATGAATCTACTTATGTGTATTAATGTGTGTTGAGGGAGATTGAGTATTCATGTCGAGCATTTTAAAATTATACTTTGAAAGTGGGAAAACCTTTTAGCCGGTTGTTTGGAAAGTTTGAAATTACATTATGGTACAGGGCCGGCCCTTGGCATAGGCAGTATAGGTGAATGCTAAGGGCGCATCAACCTATGGGGGGCGCCGAACATTTTTATTTAAATAAAAACATAATTAAATAAAATTAAAAAAAATGTTTTATTTACATTTCATAACAAAACAATTTCCCGATTTTGGATCAACAAAGTACATCCTATTATCTTATCTTAACAGAATTACGCCTATATTGCACACAGCGCTCATAAACTGTGGCGCAACCCCCCCCCCCAAATTGGTAAGTTGAACTGCCGGGGCTGCGGGGGGGAGGATCAAGGGGGCGGGTCAAGTGTAATTTTTAATGTGGAAGTAGATTACAGCCCTCTCTTCACTTGATTAGGACAGGTCCCTCTGCTGTAATTAATGTAAATTACAGTAAAAACCAGAGTTTTATGTTAAATTGTTCTTTTTTTTAAATAATGGTTTTCGTTTGCAATTATAGGTTTTAATTTTGTATTTGTGTTCATTTAAAATCTTGCCTAGGGCAGCAAATTGGTCAGGGCCGGCCCTGTTATGGTAACATTGTTTTAAATGTGTTCTGATACGGGAGTTCATTCAAAGTTAAAGTGATGTTTTTTGCTTCACTTCCCCCGTCTTCACAACTATTAAATAAATGTATTCGTAATGTTACTCATGCATTATTCATAAACTTGGAGCTGTGTGCCCTCCTTTGAAAATGTCAATTGACTTGTGGGTAATGATTGTACAGAATAAATAAGTCACTTTCGAAATGAGTGTATATGACTTACCCATTGAGAGCTGCCAGAAAACTAAAGACAGTCATTTACAATTGGAGGAGCTGCCTTACCCGTAAATGCAAATCACTGTTTCAAATATTACGCATAAGCCCAACATTTGTCTTTTATTTTGTTTCTTTTATTTTTAGATTGCTTTGTATATTTGGGAAGAAGGAAATGGTCCAAAGCTGACGGCAGTTCCAGAGTTTTGTACAGAGACGAGAGACAACTGTGCCACCACATTTACATCCTACCTTCCCAACTGCGTATGTACTTTTATTACATTGAAAATGTGGTGTTCATAAACCTTTGCACTAAGTTCTTGAAAAGCGTGCCTGTATTAGCATGTGAGTTTCTGAGCGTTATATAATGAGGACTTCAAGGTGTTCTTTCAGGGTTGCTTCTTTTAATCCACCATCTTGAATCACATTTATAACTCAGCTGTCCGGCTGAGTTTAATTTGAGTACATTAAACACGTCGCCGGTGCCAAAGTCTATTATGCAGGCTGACAAATAATCAGGTCCTGCAGGATGAGTACGCCCGGCCTGAAGGCCGTAACAGAAATCAACCAGACAGCTAGCCGAGTGGGAGGAAGGGGCGCTGCAGCATTTATTTAAAGCAAGATTAAGAAAAAGGTGTTAAACAAAACAACCCACACAAGGCAAGTCTGAATAACATTTTTACTTTTTGTAATCTGCTTTAAAGAACATTTCACATGTACATCGATTTCAAAGAAAAATGACTTTAAAAGAATAACTTATAAGTAATTGTAGATTTGGTTTTCATGCACATAATCATTCTCATAATGTATATTTCCACATATTTTACATTTGTTTTTTCCTTCTTTTTCTCACTACGGTCCTCTTATATGATAATGACACGCTATTTATGAATAAAACACTTTGCTGTATAAATGACTTTTGTATTAATCAACTCTGCTGTCTGCGTATATCGGGCAATGTGTGAAAGGAGCTTACATTTGAAGACCATCTGTCACAAGGAATACATTAATAATTTAGCGCTAGATCTGATGATGATCATCTCACAGGAATTAGTGTCAAGCATCATCAGGAAGTGTCTGAAGTTTGTAATGAATATTCTGCAAGTGTCGCGGATCCAAAAAAAGAATTGAAATCCCAATTACTGCTGGTGTTTTGCTGGAATACGAATAGAGTATTGACAGGTGTAGTCGATGATAATACCTGACAGCGCTGTTAGGACCTAATGTGCCTAATTTGACCATCTAGACCTTATTTTAAGTCCATAACATTGAATGTATGTTCCACCTCACACTGTGTTTGTGGGTTCACCTTTGCACCTCTTGGCATTTTATAACTAAAACACATTCTTTTAAATAAAAAGCAACATTGTTTTTTCTTTCTTTCTTTTACTAGGGAGACCCGGTGTCAAAGAGAGATGTTTTTGTTGCTGTGAAAACCTGCCAGAAGTTCCACTCAGAGCGAGGTGTGTGCCTATTCCCGGCAAGAACTGTTTACACATTGTTAATAATAATAATATTGCACATGTTATATAGCAGCGAGTGTTTTGTAATGATATTTATATTGACAGATTGAAAGTTCTCAGTTCCCTTTACTGAAGGGTGAAGAGTTATATTGTTTGATGGCCACTGGGAGGAAAGACCTCCTGTGGCGCTCCGTGGTGGTCTCAGTCTGTGGCTGAAAGTGCTCTGGTAGGAAACCAGTGTAGCATGCAGGGGGTGAGACTCGTTGTTCAGAATGTTGAGAAGTTTCCTCAGCATTCTCCTCTCCGACACCACTGCCAACGACTCCTGGTCCACTCCAAGGACAGAGCCTGCACTCCTGATGAGCTTGATGAGTCTGTTGGCATCAGCTGTCTTCACCCTGCTGCCCCAGCACACTACAGCAAAGAAGATCGACCACCGAGTAATAAAACATCTGCATAGTGCTGCAGACGTTAAAGGACCTGAGTCTCCTGAGGAAATACAGGCGACTCTGGCCTTTCTTATGTGGACACCCAGAAATGTGTGACTGTCCACAATGTCCACATCCATGCCCACGATGGTAATTGGGCTTGGGGCGGTACTCTGCTTCCTAAAGTCCACCACTAGCTCCTTCGCTTTAGTAACGTTGAGCTGCAGGTGGTTCCGACCGCACCACTCCACAAAACTGTCCACCACACTCCTGTACTCAGCTTCCTGATCTCTGCTGATACAGCCCACAATGGCAGACTCATCTGAGAACGTCTGCAGATGGCAGGACTGTGAGCAGTGTATGAAGTCTGATGTGTAGATTGTGCACAGGAAGGGAGAGAGGACCGTGCCCTGAGGAGCGCCCGTGCTGCTCAATATTAGTAACAGTTAACCGAAGTGCTGTACAGTGGTGAAAGAACAATACAATATATAGCAAATATTAAAACAAAGTTAAAACATAGATGGCAATACCAACCAGATAGATACAAGATAGCTACAAGTAGAACAATGACTGTCAACCAAATACATGAAATAAATCCAACAGGAGGGCTACATGACGGTGAATATTGCTAAAGGCTAAGTTTTTAATAAGCTTAGAGAAAGGGCTGATTTAAGAGAAAGTGGTAGTTAAGAGTACCTCAGTATTTAGTAAATATGTGATTTCTCTTCACCACTGATATTTAGTTTGAATATTCTCATCCTTAATGTTACTACAGTTTGTTTATGGTGTTTAAAAATAGATGTATTTATTTATGAGCACACTAGCAAGCCGATCTGTCCCCCTGAGGTCACGACATCGCGAAAATGAACTCTTTTAGTTAACGTTTATCACAGAGCAAATATAAATGAAATGGAAATCACAGTGCAAGTTTTACTTCACAGTTTTAATTTGTCACCGCTTTTTTCTTTACTGCCACTCTCTGAACAGAGTGCCGGTCATTTAAAACATCCAGTTTAAATTCACAACCTCGTTTAGTCTGTCTGCTTAAATTGCAACAGTTTGTGTAATTATCCAAAACATTGGGTTCTTTTCTTTAGGGTCAAAATGAGCCAGCAGTTAGGGACTGAATATGTTAAAGCAACAGACAAACTCAAAAGAAGAAAGACCAGAGCGATTATCTCCCCAACCCGCTACTTGATATTCAGCTCTTATTAGCATTGCAGGGGAAAGCAGTAGTGTGCACTCCAAACAATTAGTTAGTGGAATCACTTGAGAATAAATCAGCATAAAACTAATTTTGTGATTACTTATTATTATCCAAATCCACATGAAGTTAATGACAATGCTAGTTCAAAGACACACTATTAACTCCCTCCCCCAGTCTTACTCCCTTCTGTCGTTATTTGATCGTTTTCATAATTAACTCTGTACGTGTCTGTGTGATTCAGATTCAATGTTTAAGGCTCTACTTTCTCTCTTCCACCTGGCCTCTTTTGTTACCCTCTTCCATTTCTCCTCACAGTACCAGTGGTGAAGGCAACCTGGGAGAAAGACGCTGAGTTTTTGGAGTATTACAGCGACGTCACTGACGCCTCCATACCCACGATCAGCCTGGGAGTGCCCAACACTGAGAGAGGTAAGCGGATCTAGGAAATGTAAACACACCACACCAACAACAAGGGACAAGCTTAATTTGTTTCACTTGAACACACCGCAAAGATTACAGCCAGAAGCCAACAATCAGTTACGTTCTGTGCCTGTGAGAGAGGAGGTAATGTCACAGCAGCTGTGGTAGTGAGGGATCCCAGATAACAGCCTGTAGATATACACGTCGTTCTTTTGATACAAACAAAGCAGCGTTTGCCGAACCATTTTCACACTCACTCAACACTAACTCCTGGAGGTCATTGTGTAGTGAAAACATCATACATTAGACCTCTGTGTCCCCTTTTGACTTGAGTCATTTGTTTGTTTGCCTCACGTCTGTTTCTCTTTGCTTATATTGAACGATCTTGGACTGTGGGTGTATCATGGCTTTTAGAGAGATTAAATCACAGAGGTGTCCTGACAGCAGTCGGAGGATCCCTTAGAACAGTGGTTCCCAACCTGGGGGGCGCGCCCCCCTTGGGGGGACGCCAAAGATCGCAGGGGGGGCGCCAGGCCTCAGATGATTTAAGGCCAAATATCATATTTAGACTTCTTTTTTTTTAACTTTTTTTTTTTTTGCATATAATTGTAACGCAATACATGATTGTCACTAAAAGCCTTGTCTCTACACTACAATAAAATATAAAAAATAATTGATTAATTAATTTGAATAAAATGTCAAGTTAGTAGCTATTAAAGGCATAAAAAGACAGCAATGTATAATTCTGTCTTTAATAGAAATGTTTCTTCTGCCTGTAAAGTGTCCAAACCAGGCTTGTCTGGATAAGCGCATTTCTAAAACATAGTCATTGTCCATGCCGGTTTCAGTTGGATTATTTGTCACAGTTGCTCCGATCAGATCGGTCTCCTCCATTTTGTAGATTATTTACAATTTTTGAATCCACATAAAAACATCGGCAAAGACCGGCTTACTTTGAGCATGTGTTTTAAACAGTTTAATCCCTTTGTGAATTGTTTCCACTTGTGTCGTCCTTTAATTTCTTCATACAGCGGGAATCCAAATGAATGAATCCTGAGTCCAATAACCATCAAAGTCACTCCAATAGTGCTCCTTAATTATGCTTTCATCCTCCTTTAACAAAATACTTCACATTCATCCAGTTTGTTACGGTAGTTGTAGCATTTTTGAGACTTTGAAACTTTAATTACCGCCGTTGCGCCCCCAACTTCCAACAGGAGTCATTTGGGGGGGCTCTTGGGAAAAAAGGTTGGGAACCACTGCCTTAGAAGGAGCTCGGGGGGGAAGCTGAAGAGTTAGGGGATGTTTGTGACGGCTGTAACGACAACACCCCTGACCTAAATAGGTAGCTTTAAAATGTGTGGATGGAGGGGGATCAATAGATGCTGGACCATAAGGGATACAATCTAATGACTTTTCCTCTGTTGCCAGCAGCAGGTCAAAGTTTCCACTTTCTTTAGTGAAATGTAATTTACTTGATGGATTGGCACAGAATATATTAAAGACATCCATTGGTTCCCAGATGATGTCTCCTAATAACTATGACCATCTAACTTTTCTTTTTTTGTGTGACTTTTCATCGCTTCAAAATTAACCATTTTCAGTTGGATGTTTTTATGGGATGATCATGTCGTTATGATCCTTTGACTTTTTTAGCACCATGTTGAGGTCAATCGTGTCAGTTGTCTAACACTTTGCTTTATGCCAATAAACCTGCAGGCGTATTGAAATGTCCTCCAGCATCAGTTGTACTCTGTGTTTAAAGCTAATACGTGTTATTATGCTAACATTCTAAACCAAGACGATAAACATTAATAAATGATTACAAACTAATGCTTATGTTTAATATATGAGATGGATTCAGGTTCGTTCTGATGTGAACGCAGCATTAGCATTGTAGCGTTTTCAATATTAGCTCGTTTGCATAATACAACCTCAAAGAGCCGTTGACTCTGTGTCCGCTCTCTGTGTGATAAACACATCGCTAGCAGTTTGGTGACTGTCAAGCTACAGTTCGAGAGTTAGTTCACTGCCACTTCACCCACCCCCCTTTGTTTTGTGTTTTTTGTTTGCAATGTGAGATCCTTGTTAAAAGGATATGAAGTCCTTTAAGCTGTAACACCCCTCTCTCACATTTCAAGTGCACTGACGGAGGAATCCGTGTATGAATCTGAAAAAGCAGACAAGAAGTCTGAATAAATCCTGGCATTACAGCAAAGTCATTCCTCTTCCCAGTGAGGATTACTATGTAAATGTTTAAATCTCCTTCAGTCTTATATTTCCCTTGTTCACAGGCTGATGGAAGTCAAACACAATCTGTCAAGTCCTCTGTACAAAACGTTTTTCAAAAGGATTTTTTTATAACTTTCCAACCCCATCATTTTTGAACATTGTATTTCCTTAAGTGAAGTCCCTCGTCCTTTAGTCTAATATTCAAACCTCTTTTATGTCTTTTTTTGTTAATGCAACAGATTTAAGGTAATTGATGTGACATTTCTGCTTTAAAATGTTCCGTTAAAAACAACCCTAACTCTGTCTTTTGTGATTTGGATTGAGAAAAATGTAGTCATAGAAAATGATATACAGTATTGTACATTTAGCTGTATACTCAGGAGAATAAAAGCAATGACATGGCTCTGAGCTTCCTCTATTATTTTGAATGTTACTTACTGTATATGATCTGGGACATCTCAAGTTTTCTTCATACATTATCTTCATTCAGAAAATGGGTTATTTTGCTTGCCCAGCTATTTTGTCTTGGTGTAAAAATATGATGTGTTTTGTAAAAGTCAATATCATCAGTACCAGCGTGAATTGTCTATTTGCCAGATTTTCACAAACATGATTTGGCCTTTGAAGTAGATAACTTCTTTTTTAATATCCCTGATTATGATTATGAATCAGAACCATTTTAAAATGATCAACAGAAAAATAATCCTTTTTGTAAATATGTTTACCTATCGGATTAAAACAGCCAGTGGATAAAATACTTTAATCGGGTCTGATGAGGTCTCATGAACCACAAACATGAATTGGAGATCTCTGCTTTATCTGTATGTCACCTCCCTGCAGGGCATTGTGGGAAGACATTTGCCATCTTGAAGCGGTTCTTAAGCAAAGACGTACCAAAGGCTGATTGGCTTCTCATTGTTGATGACGACACACTGATCAGGTAACTGGGAGAAGATATTTATTTTCTATTCTACAACTGTCAACGAAAGGAAGAAAACACAACCTTAGATATCACATGACAGTGATTTATTTTAAGATCACACACACACACACACACACACACACACACACACACACACACACACACACACACACCCTATATATATACATATATATATATATATACATCGCTTCAGGGGACATTACATTGACTTACATGCATTTCCTGGAGACTTATCCTAACCTTAACCAACACATGCCTAACCCTAACCTTTACCCTAAACCTAACCAAGTCTTCACCCTAAAATTAATGATTCCCCTT